TTGTTTCTTTAAAGCTAGTTTCATTTCTTTCTTAGGAATTGAAAATTTCATTATTCTATCTTAATGCATATAAGAAAAAGAAAGAAAGGAGAAAAATATGTATATGTATACACAGGATAGCTTGGATAATTGGACTACTAATATCTGTTGGTTTATTGAAAGGAACTGTTAATGTATAATTGTTGGATCAGTCTTACATGCCTATATCTGGTTATCTATGCAACCATTTTGAAGATAACATTATGTAATATAACAATCATTCTTAATATCATATCACTTTGTTTTGAAATTCTGTATCATTTTTATTTTTTTCTATGATGTTTTGTTTATGTATATGTTTTTGTTATTTTTGTGTTTTCTTTGCTCTTTAAAATGAAAAACAAAATTTAATTGTATATACAATGATAGTTGGGACAGCTGATGTCTGTGATTTATTGAAAGGAACAGTCAATGTTTAATTTTTGCTTTTTCTTGACCAATTTTGTATGCTTGTATCTGGTAATCAGAATGACTGATTTGAAGACAACAATATGCAGTATAAGAACCATTGTTGAATTTCTTTCATCTTGTATAATGAAGCTATGCATCATTTCAAATGTTTTTTTTTTATTACTTGTTACTGTCTTTGATCTTTTGATCAATCAAACATTCTTAGATCTGGTGGACTGAGCAACTTCATTGAAGATAACAGTATGTAACATAACAACCATTGTTAATTCCTATCCTTTTCTTTCTAGGTCGTGTATAATTTTTGTTGTGTTTGTGTTTTTCTTGTTTTTTTTTTTTTTTTTTTTTTTTTTTTTTTTTGGTTTTGGGGATTTTTTTTCCTGTATCAGGAACCGAACTCATGACCTCATACTTGCCAGGCAGGCGCTGTGCTGCTGAGCTAAATCCCCAGCCCCTGTATTTGTGTTGCTTTGTTTTTGTCTTCATTGTTGTTGTTTTGTTAGTTTTTTTTTTTTTTTTTCTCTTTAAAATAAAAAAAAATACATACAGGAACTGCATTTCAAACTAGTTTGGTAAAGTTCAGTGATTGCATAAAAATGGATCATATAATTTTAAGCTATTACTTTTTAAGGCTGTGTGTGTGTGTGTGTGTGTGTGTGCGCGCGCGCATGCGTGTGTGTGTGTGCACACAGGCCCCCAAGTTGGTATTTAACAGCCATAGGAACTATGATTCAGACAGACAACAATACAAAAGACGTCCGCTGAGCTACTGCATGGCCTGGTGACCACAGCAATAAGAAGCAAGAAGGTTTAAACTTTAAGGCCCCCAAATACAGTGCCAGGAACGTGATGCTCTCAACCCCTGCAAAACCAGATGCAATTGATCTGATGTCCTGGCTCAATAATCACTTATGATCTTTAACTCCGATTATCTTATCGATAATCAGAGTTTCAACAATTACATGCAAAATGAAAATGTAGTACCACATTTGTTTCATTCTTTAATATTACTAAACATAACTCCAAGCAATTTTCCATCACTTTAATTTCTCTCTTCTATTATATGGCTCTAATAGCCAAAGCATAAAGGAAATGAACCAGCCACTGATCAAATCTCTATTCAGAATCATTTTAATTGAGATGGTGACTCTGCTGAGAATTCAAAACCATCTTCTTTTTTAAAGGAAAAAAAGGTGGTTTTCTTTCAAGGGATATCACCTCTATGCTTTAATAATCCTGTGTATATTTCTTTTCAGGTGTAGAACACTCAAGTTTATCTTTAAAGCAATCAATAAAAGCAAATTGCTTATTGTTATCTACTTCAAAAATATATGAAAGAATTTAATTTTAAAATACTATGTAACACAGCAATGACCAAAATATTTTGAGTCCTACAAAGTAGCCTAGAGCTTAAAACATTTTATCTATATTAGGCAGGAAGATAAAATTTCAGAATGATGTTACTGTTCACATACAATTCAGATAGTCATTGGTTAGAAAAATACTGGTAAATTAAATAGTACGGTGCATTGTATCAGTCACATGAGGAAAGTGACAAGTCAACTACTCAGATGTGAACTCTCTTTTTTTTTTTTTTGGTTGTGGTTTTTCTCCGGTACCGGGAACCGAACTCACAACCTTGCGTTTGCCAGGCAGGCGCTTTGCCACTGAGCTAAATCCCCAGCCCCCGGATGTGAACTCTTCATGCTTAGTTTTACTTGTAAGAAAGTTGTCATCTTCAGTTTCTAACCAGCATTAATAAGAGTTATAGTTTTCAAGTTATTCTTACACGAGTCCTGCCTTTATTTTCACTTTGGTAGCACCTCAGTTTTGAGTCATCATAACTAAAAAAATTCACCATTTTAATAAAAATATGACAGTATCCAGTTTAGCAACCTCAATTACTTGGAGACTCAGATTGCAGCTACACAGGGAATATGTAAGACTTTGGACAAATGGAGATAATAGCTGTCATAAAGCCCATGTGTTTCCCCGAGTGGATACGTCCCAAACCTCACACAAGAGATAAACGACTTGGCCATTCTGGGAGAGGTACACATAATCACTTCGAAACTTCACTCCCTGGTTTCCTTGGGATCCCGTGTCTTATCAAATGATAAAGACATTTGGACAGAAGCACAAGAAGAAGGGGTGATAGTTGGTGTGCTATAAAATGGTAATCTGTAATGAAAAGCTGTAGAATGGGCCGCAGAATCACCAAGAGTCTTTAACTTCTGAAGCAAGTTTCACCTATCAACCCTCAATGCATCACTGTATCAGAGTTAGAGCAAAAGAGACCTACATCAGCAGGATCCGGCAAGTCAAGGAGGCATTAATCATCACTGCTGTATTGTACTAGAAAATGTGTAGAGGGACCACGCATTTTCAGTTTAGTGTCTATCAACACAGTAAACAATTTGAAATGACCTTCTAATGGGATGTTGCAGGTATTACAAATATGCATATTTACTGAATATATAAATTCCTCAACGGCTCAATATGAATTGCTTTAATCTAAAACTGTTTAACGTGAAGAAATAAATTGTATGAAACAAATATTATAATACTGAAGCCATTCACTGGTTAAATATCATTCTCTTTTGATGTTAAATGCAGCCCACAGTTCCTTAACCTATTAGATGACAAAATTGGGAGTAAAAGGATATACATGTACATAAGGATATACATATGTCACATATATACACATACACATGATTTAATATAATCAACAAAATGTGTTCTTGATTCTTCCTGTATGAAATAAAATCTGTAAGTGAAACCTTATTGGAGATAATGTGAGTTTTTTCTTGTGTGCTTGTTTCCAGTACCGAGGATTGAAACTTTGTGCTGAGATAAATCTTCAATCCTTTTGAACTTTAATTTTGAGACACAGTCACACTAAATCATTAATAAATCACCATAATCAATTAAATCATTAATAAATCATTAACTAAATCATTAATAAATCACAATAAATCACCTAGACTGGGCTCTAACTTGAGATCTTCTGCCTCAGTCTCCTACAGTGCTGGAATTACATACTTGCACTTCTATACCTAGTGTGGAAAATAATGGCAATTTTAGAAGCATAAAGAGTTTTAGCTTCTTTGAGAACAAAATTCTGTACAAAACCCAAAATTCTAGGATGACTCTGGTTCCTCTTCACAAAGTAGTATAGTGTGCTCTCATGTGTTTATTATAAATTCAGTTGTTTACACTTTCACTCAATTGTCAATTTTTTCTCCACAGTCATTCTACTAGCACTACACTGTTTGTGATTCTGTTATCGCTGGTCTCTGTGAAATTTCTAGCCTAAGGCAATAGAAAATTCCCTTCAATGACAAATGGGAAATATCATCTGAATAACCCTTAGAGGACCATTCTGGGTGACTTTGGGGAAGAAACTGTATTCTGACTGACACAATTGAGATAGACTGACACAGAAATAGAACAACAAATACTCTGGCTATAAACCCTTGGAAAATTCGGTGTCCATAAAATCTAGTAGAATCCTGTCCTACTCTGAAATTTCTCTGTATCTGTGAATCTCAAAACATGAGGTCAATGGACATTTGATATATGATGGGACACAGCAGCTGAATTTTTAATTTTATTTGATTTTAATGAGATATAGACTTAAATATCCTCACTTGGCTACTGGCTACAGTATTAGACAATGTGCTTCCACAGGGTTAGCCAAGATATGATTAATTTGGTCTGAGTTTAATATCTGGAATATTGAATGTAAGACACAAAGCAGAATGAAAGTGCTTACATATATGTGTAACATGTATCCATATTTTTATAATCTACCTATATCTCCCAAGAAATTATGTAGGTAGCCTCATATAAATTAAGAATTTCTAAATATTTGGTACAAGATTTCATTAGCATACACTACATTTTTGTCTATCTCAGTGAGGTAAAACATCTATCCAAGTCAAAGTAGGTTATACTAGAATTAATTCATTTTAATTCTTTTTAATACAAAAGTCATACTCATAAGTGAAATAAATCAGACTCACATGTGTAAACATCATGTAGTCTCTGAGTATAAGAAACTGAAAGAATAAATAAGGTCCAAAATGCACAATATGTAATGTGAAAAAGGAGGAAACTGCTCAAAAGGAAAGAACAACTGGGATGGGAGAAAGGAAAAAAGAAGGAAGGGAAAAGAATAAATATCTATCTATCTATCTATCTATCTATCTATCTATCTATCTATACACAAAAGATAGCTAGGATAATTATACTACTAAGTTCTATTAGTTCATTAAAAATAGTGGTTTGCTCTTATATTGTTTATTAATTTTTCATGCCTATATCTTGTCCTATATCTTGTAATTTGAGCAACTACTTTGAAGATAGCAATACACAATATGTTAACCACTGCTAATCTCCTATTATTATGTTTTGAAATTCTGTCTCATTTTTATTATTTTTCTCTTTAAAATAAAATAAAAATCATCCTATGCATTAACCATCATATGCTCATTGTGCATTAATATCTCAACCCATTTATGTACAATCACACAGTATTCTGAGGTACATACCTGACACCATGCTTCATAAGTGGTGTTTTAAATGCTGCATTATGCTGTAGGAAAAAATGGAATGTTTCACTATTTTTGAAAAAGAAAGAGACAACATTTTGCATTTAAAATATTGTAAGAGCAATAAAAAATTCAATTAAAAATAAGACCAAGAATAACAAAATGCAAATCACTATTGTAGAGTAAACAAATATCCAGAGTCCGAATCAGGGTATGTATATAATATCTCTATGTTAAGTGGTAAGTGAATACAACCTCTTACAGAAGAAAAACATTATGCTTTTGACAGCAACAAATTTAACAAACTTTGTAAAGACTGAAGAAATGTAGAAGGTAAAAACATAATAATAATAATAATATGAACAAAACAAAAAACTTGAAACTCTCTTCCTGGAGCTTGCCTTCTATTTCTCTACTTTTCTAAGCCAAAAGTGGAGCCTTTTCAGAATGAGGGCATTCTCTGCGAGCAGCACGCCAGCCTCCCTTTGAAGTGTATGTGTGACTCTCTGACACGGAGTGTCTGATGGAGCAGGATGTGCCTCTTTTAAATCAGTGTCTAGCAGAGAGAACTGTCAAGATCTTTGACACCTTGCTGCATTCAGCATCTTTCCTCGTGTCTACAGCAACATTTATTTCCCAAGGTTTACTTCACAAAAGATGTGTTTTCTTCTGTCAGTTCTGGACTATTTACTCCTGAATTCATTTAACTTTATGAATTATCCTCAGGCAGTTTTTTTAAATTTCTGAACATCCTTCCTATTTCTATGTTTTTAACTTCAGAATCCTATGTGATCATCAAACTTAATCACTATGACTCTCTCTCAACCTACAGAATAAAAAATAAGTAAAGTCCACAGAGATGAAATATTACCGGATAGTTGTGACTACTAAGAAACCTTTTTAGAATATTGTTTGTATTGAGTAACACTGTTTGGACATCGTAAATCCTATATGTTGGAAGAATATTGACCTTACAATATGTAACCAAAACATCCTAATGGTCATTAAAAATGAGGGAGTGGCCAAGCCATCTGGGGTTACCTAATCTCTCAAGATGTTTAAGAAGGAGGTATTCAGCAAGAGGAAAATATAATGATTAAACCATGGTTTAATCATGCAGTAGAATATAGTCAGCATTTGCAACGAATGAAACAGAGAGAAACTAGACTAGGTTGTCAGTCAGGAGATGTGTCAAGTATGAAGTTGACCAGTATTGCATGTTTATATCTGTTTTCATGAGAAGCCACTTTGAAGATATCAATATGTAATACAACC